GACAGGATGATCTGTAAGTATAACAAAAAGAAATGCTTTATCTGTTTTCTTTGTTAAAAATCAATGAACAAACTAAAAATTTCCAGTAAAAATTTTCTTTTTATTCTTATTCACTAAGAAAGTGTGTAGTTAGAAATATTGCAACATTTTCTTCAAGATGTCATGCTATATACACTCTCTTTCTCTCTCCATATATATATTTCTTCAAAATGTCATGCTATATACACTCACTCTCTCTCTCTATATATATATTTCTTCAAAATGTCATGCTATATACACTCACTCTCTCTCTCTCTATATATATTTCTTCAAAATGTCATGCTATAATACACTCACTCTCTCTATATATATATATATATTTCTTCAAAATGTCATGCTATATACTCTCTCTCTCTCTCTATATATATATATATATATATATATATTTCTTCAAAATGTCATGCTATATACACTCTCTCTCTCTCTATATATATATATATTTCTTCAAAATGTCATGCTATATACACTCGCTCTCTCTCTCTCTATATATATATTTCTTCAAAATGTCATGCTATATACACTCACTCTCTCTCTATATATATTTCGTCAAAATATCATGCTATATACACTCACTCTCTCTCTCTATATATATATTTCTTCAAAATGTCATGCTATATACACACACTCTCTCTCTCTCATATTATATATATTTGCGTATATATTTATATATTATTTTTATTTGCGTATATATATATATATATATATATATATATATATATATATATGGATATCACACATTGAGTGCTGGTGCAAATAAAATAGTGCTTGATGTATAATAACAGATATAATTTATATTAATAATAAATATACATTTTTTCCCCACTGGTAGCTTAACTCTGAGTTTCATGCACAGTGCAATCATCAGATGCTGACTGAAAACTCACTTTAATCAGCACCTGACTTTTCATTTCCGGTAGCTCAACTCCGAGTTTCATGCACTCAGTCCTCTTCCCACCAATAAGAAGAAGACATGATTAACATGTTGTCTCAAGTTTGGGGGCCAGAGAAAACAAATTTTGGGATTTGTTTATATTCATACTATCAGTCCAAAATGTGTATATTCCTACAGAAAAGAATGGACCAAATTCTTTTAAACAAAGAAGGCATCTAGGTTTGTCTAATTCCAAAACTTGGGGTTTGTTTATATTGATGCTCTCCACCCAAAACTTCATCTTTAAAAAAAAAAAAAAAAGGACAGAAAATTCTAAAACAAAGAGAATGCCATGTGGTTACCGGCAGATCTTCAGAGTGGAGAAATTAGATATATCAGTGTCAAATTTTAAGTTGGGAGTCATCTACATAAACAAAGACCCACCAGACCAGAGACACACAAAGAAGGTCAGGCCTGAGATCATAGCCTGAGTTGTCAGAAGTTTGCTTCAGATTGCATGGTCAGACAGCTACCACCTCAGAAAAGCACACCTTCATTTCTGTGGATGGAGCAAAAACACAGAGGCATAACTAGCAGTCTCGTTTCTGCTATTTTATAGCAATTGCTACTAGATTTCTCAAATCCCAACCCAAAAGAGAAAGAACTTAATATTTTGGTAAACAATACAGATATTTTAGTCATCATTTTCTATTTATATTCAATAAACCTGGGTCAGGTAGGATAGATTCAGACTCAGTGAGAACAGGACTAGAATTTGGTGACATTGTAATCATGAGTTCAGTCCCTGAGCTGGGTAGTACAGACTTAGATTCTGTGGAAACAGAGCCTGAAATCACTGAGCAGCACAAAAAGAAGACACCTCTAGACACTGACATTAAACTGCGAACAATCTACACCTGAAGATTTTTGAATTCCCTAAGGGTTATCTGAATAGACAAACACCCGAAGAAGGTTGAAAGGCACAATGGCCAAAACATTTTGATAATAAAAGCAAAGACGTGGTCAATAGTCCAACTGATAACACCTCATCCCAAAAACTCAGATAGAAATAAAATAAATTATATTACATTTTAGATGCTATGGTATTTTTTTTATTTTGATTCCTGATATAAGATTTTTCAAATGGATGTAAGTCTGACCTTTTTATTTTTTTACAGTGTAACCCGGATATAAGAGAAACCCGATATAAGAGAGATTTTCTCTGGTCCCAAATTAGAGCCTGTGTTAATGTATATAAAATAGACCAAACCCGGATATAAGAGAAACCCGGATATAAGAGACTTCTTCTCTGGTCCCAACAACTCTCTTATATCCGGGTTACACTGTATATTTGGTTTTTACAAATTCTAAATCTCAAATGTATCATATTTAATTTTTATTTAAATTTATAGAGAAATATATATGATCAGAATATGAGGATAGATGAAAAATATCAAAGATTCATTCAGTATTTGGTGTGTGAAATTTGTTTCAGGCATTAAAAGCAAAAATGCACTCAATTTCCATAGATTTTTAATGATATGAATATCAAAGTGTTGCTCTTTGTAAGATTGCATGCAGGCAAATTTTACATAACACTGCGAGCATTCTCTTATCTTTTCTCCTTTACCGCGTATGGCCCTGGCATCAGTTCAAAGTGACACTTATTTTTTTCCCATATAGCTAAACTTTAATTATAAAATACCCAAGCTTCACTTTAAGGACCAGTGTAAAACTTCCATGATGGAATTTTCAATTAATGTTGTGAACTGAAATGTGGTTGCTTGGGATCGAACTGCTGTTTTCGTGGGGGCAAAGAGTTATGAAGAGAATAGAGTCCAGTGCACCGTAGGGGCTAAACAAAGACACAAATGCCCCACAGTGGATGACTCCACAGTATTCTACTACTGTGGTCATTGTCAAAAACCGTGCTGATTGTGCATTGGTTGTTTTAGTCATGAGCGGTGATGTGTTTTAAGATAACCTATTTTCTGCTGCTGATCATCGAAAAAGGCCATATATATATATATATATATATATATATATATATATATATATATATATATATATATAGAGAGAGAGAGAGAGAGAGAGAGAGAGAGAGAGAGATAGATAGATAAACCTAGTGAGCCAGACAAACCTACCTAGTTTCACCTAAACGGCTCGTCAGGGAAAGTCGGCTTTCCCTGACGATCCGTTTAGGTGAAACCTAGGTAGGTTTGTCTGGCTCACTAGGTTTATCTAGGTCTGCTCTACAGTTGTATTGAGCTCTTTTGTTAGTTAGTTTACTCGTATCGGTTTTTTTTCTTTGGGCTTCAAGCCTGTATTTGTGCGATTTTTTTCGACAGACTTTCATGTTTGTAGCTCTTTCTTTTTTTAAAACCTTTTTTCCACTCGAGATTGATTTGATTATTGGCATATCAGAAATTCGAGGGTTTTTCGAAACGAGTATAGTTATCTATATATATATATATATATATATATATATGGCCTTTTATATAATATGTACTCATTATGCAATGTTACATTAGAACATGCACATACCCACTACAAAATTGTACATCTTGTTTCAACATTAAAAAAACTTTTTAACGTTTCATCAGGTGGAGATGAGGATCACATAGTGATTCCCCGCCTGATGAAACGTTAAAAAGGTTTTTTTAACATACTGTAACACTGCATAATAAATATTTACAGCTCTACTTTTGTATTGAGCTGTTTTAAAGGCTGAAATCTCACTTTTGTTCTTTTACATTTGGATATATATATATATATATATATATATATATATATATATATATATATATAAAAATTATAAAATACAAAAATAAAAGAACACTGAAATTTCTCGGAAAATTCTCAAGTTTTTATCTAAAATCAATAAAATATAAAATAAAAATTCTTACAATATATAGACAAATGAAGGTATCAGTTTAAACTAACACCAGGAGAATTAGAAGCAGAAGATTTATAATAACTAGGTACCTCCCCACCACCAAAAAATAAAATCTATACATAAGGATGAAAATGCATTTTAAAAAAAAATGAAAAATCTTTCTTGAAGCTTTTATTTTGGTTTTAATTTGAAGATTGTTGAAACTTGGATAAGCATGGAATAATAATAATACAACACAAAATGTACGTTAACAAAATGTATTGAAACAAGGAAAGGGTACACAATATTTACAGTTAGTTTTGGTATATTCTTGGGAAGACTGTTCCTGCATAATGGGTTGACTAAATCGCAGTCGGGCAGAGTCTCTCGATTCGATGTCTTCTTCTAACCCACTATCTCCCGTCTTCCGGTACTAACCCATATTTATATGGTCGGTACTCCACTTATGTAAATTAGGTGTATCGTACACAACAAAGATAATAGATTAAACTTAATATTTCCAATAAGCAAAATACTTTGTTCTATTTCAGAATGAATTTAAATTTATTGGAGTGATTTTATTTGATTTTCAGTAAAATTGCACATATTGACAAATCTGTCAACACAACATAATTCTCTTTATGAAAAAAATCTTTCAAAAATAAAATATACTTTTCTAAAACATTGAGAAAAATTACCTGATTTGTTTGAATAATTTTCTACAGTTTATCCACACATTGCAGGTTATTTAGAATTAGAAAATATTTTTATATTGTAAGAATATTTTTTTGAGATAATAATGGCTTACTGATACAAGTCTTACTAATTAACCCATAGCTTGGGGGAGAAGAGGTGAATTTATACCTTTCTCAAGAGCCTTTGTATGTCAGTAAATATAATTGTTGTAACCTCGGAAGGGCTACTGAATGAGGAATAACCAAAACGGAGGTTGGAAATGAAATGGTAATCTTTATAACATCAACAAAATACAATACTCGCCAGCGGCATGAAGTAGGTAAACCACTGCTAGTGATGTGACTACATAGACAGTATATTACCCCCCAATAGTGTCCAACATATTTATGAGGTTTTGGACATACCCATTAGTGTTCATAGGTACAGTATATAACAATAATGAACCCAACAAGAATTGAAACTTGTCTCTCCAATTAACAATTTTGAGCCATTATCCATTACAACAGCTGCACATCCAAGCTTACAGTACCTGGTATTCCCAAGCAGTCACTCATCTAAGTACTGACCAGTCTCAACATTGCTTAACTTTAGTGATCATATCGGAATCAGTGTTTCAATGTGATGTGGTTATTAGCACTTAACTGATTTGAAGTTTAATTAATCTGAATCAAAACAAATATTACTTTTAGGTTTAAATATCAGAGAAAAGCATTTAACATGTAGGTGGGTATTTTTATGAGGTGTTGACAGATTTATTGACAGCCTAATATTTGGGAAATGTAACTAAGGATGAGATAATGGATATAAAATTACATGACAAATACACATAAACAACATTATCATTTTTTTTTTTTAACTACCCAGTAATCTTAAAAGTATTTTAAGCATTCTAATATTTTATCGAATTTTAAATACTTTGGCTTTATAATCTTATTTACGAAAACACTTGTTGAGGAAATGTTAGAAATTACCAGTAAATTTAAAATCTACTATAGTTACTTCCCTTACTTTCAGATAATGTCATTATGGTTGTCCATATTTGCAAAAATATAGAATAGATTTTCTGTAAGAGGAGATTTTGTTAGACATAAAGTATTTGATGATTTAAAAAAAAAAAAATTCTCCGAGGATTTGTCCCTGTAACTAATATAAACAATAAATGATGCAAAAATGAATTTTTCGAAATTTCATAAATTAAATATGGTGGGTGGAGCAATATGAAAAAAAAAAATTCTTTTTACCAAGATCTTCTAAAAAATAATTTCAGTCCTAAAAGTCTAATTAAAATCAGATTAATTTTTGCAAGAATTTCTATAGAAAAAAAAAAAATCATTCAAATTTTTCTGTAAAAATTTATGGTCCCATGTTGACATTAGAAAAGCAAGATTTTTAAACTAAAATTTCAGAGGTGTTAAAAAGGATTATTAAAAAAAGAAAATTAAAAAAATCCTCTGGTCTTTTCTCTTCTTAAATTTTTAATCAAAGATTTTTAACAGTAAAACTTTGTTTTTATTAAATCTTGTTTGGGCATTTTTTTGTCCTGTAGACTAATTTTTTAACGAATCTTTGGAGGGACCTAAAACCTTTTTATTAATTAAAAGCAGGACTCCTTGAAGAATTTAAATCATTATTTTTTTTTTAGTTTAACTTAAAGAAAGAACCTAGAGACAAAATCCAATTCTACAAAAAAATAATTTTTACTTTAACTTAAATTAAATTTTTCTTATTCAATTTTTATTTGAAGTTCTTATTTTTTATTTTGCATGTCATTTTGAAATTTCCTTTCAAATTATTTTTACTTTAAGTCCTATTTCATAAAAATATTTATTTTTGTTAATAGTTTTTTTACTTTTTTAAGTTTATTCTTTTTTGTAAGTTATTTTGATAAAAACGTAAGGCTATAGATAAATATATAAGTAACTAAAATTCAATAAAATAATTGCCGAAAATATGTTAATTTAAAAAAATTACTAAACCAAAAAACAAAGTGTTCACTTAGATTTCATAAATTTATGTCAATTTCTGTTCAACCATACTTAGCTTTCAACACGTTAGGCTGCCAATCAGTTGATTAACACACCAGAAAAACAAGACCCCGTGGTCAAGAAATGCTTGTATATTACATTATTATGCTATAAGTAATATTCGTTTCAAATCAGATTAATTTAACTTTAAATTTGCTAATTTTATTCAAATAACGTTTCAGAAATATACATTTTATTTTTGGAAGATTTTTAAAACCGAGAATTAACTTTTGTTTACAAATCTGTAAAAATGGCTGATATTCATCGATTTTCTGAAAGCGACCAAAAAGTTGAGATTTCAATCAATATAATTTCTATTTGAAATACACCAGAATATTTTGCTTAGCTTACTGGAAATAGTAAAAATGTAATGATTACACATTTACTATTTCCAGTAAGCTAAGCAAAATACTTTAATTGAAAGCTAAAAAATGATTACATAATCATTTAGCTTTCAATTAAAGCTAAAAAGAAAGCTTCAAGAATGCTTTTTCATTTTTAAAAATTCATTTTAAACCTTAGGTACCGAAAATTTAGTGGAGGTCCCTATACTGAAACATATTTTTAAATTTCATACGATGTAGACATTTTCTGAATTGGATTTTACTACACTGTAGTCAAGTGTAAAATTTTTACTGTTTCTTTCTTTTCAAGTCCGCGATTTCAAATACTGGTACATTTATCCAAACTAGTTAAAGCAAAATAACGCGTATTTTATTTTATTTTTTCTGTTTTACTGCAATAACAAAAATCTCTCACTCTGTGAAACGATTGACAGACATACAAAATAGTCAGGAATGTGCGATCAAAACATAAACACGTTTATAAATTATAAACAAAAGCCTGCTTAATAACATATAAAAATTAAAATTAATTCAATTGTTTAAGCGTGACAAGTCGAACCCAACATTCAGTAAGGGTCAGACTAGCTCGTTAACAAAAATACATTGTTTCAGTTAGCGTAGATCGAAACAAAATAAGTTATATCATAAAAAGACACCGACTGTCACCTTTGAATAGAAAGTCGGTGATCCCGTAATTAAGTGCCCCCAAATATCACGGTTGTTGTGAGAAATGTTTGGTCAACCACAACAAAATAATAAACAGGTACTGTAATTTAAAAAAAAAGGTGTAAATATATATATATATATATTATATATATATATATCCAACATTTAAAATTAAAATAAAGGTCAATTTATTTTTTTTCGATAACTAACGGTGTTTGTTTATTTTTGTCTAGAATACCCTCTTTTTACTTTTAAAAACTTGAACATTACGTATTAAGTTCAATAAATTTTTAAAAAAATACAGACAGCAAGTAAAAAGTGTTTCTATTACTTTTTCTTAAAAAAATTACTGAATTAAAAAAAAAAAAAAATTAAATATAAATTAGATAAGATTAAGAAGCTGATAAGCATAAGATTTTTTTTTTATTGTTAACTAACCGGGGCGCCCTCACAAAAAACTATAATAATTTGAGACGCTCAGCTACAAATTCAGCTGTAAAATCCTTTTTTTTAAAAAACTTAACAACTCATTTAAAAAAAAAATGAATAAATGTTGCTTGCTTACCAAACTAACCTTGTAAACAGTACCAACTTCGCTTGGAGAAAGCGGGAAACAACTAGGATTTCCCTATCGAGGAAGTGGCCGGTAACTAGGAAGTAACCGGTGTCGACTGAGATAAATCCCTTTTAATTAGTCCTTCGTTTTTAGTTTCATTTCTGTAGAGGTTAAAAATTCTTTGAATTTCCATCAATATTATTCATAATCATCATCATTATTTTTGTGTGTGCAAAAGTAGAATAAAAACCGACAAAATTTCAATTTCTGTCTATATTTCTGAGATGAGGTTGTAATTAAATTACAAATTACGCTAGCCTATTTATATTGTTCGGACTGTTGTCCTCATCTCTGTTGCCATTTTCAAAATAGGCTGAAGCGGACAATGGCTGAAATGTTGCGAATATGGCAACAAAGATGAGGACAACAGTCCGAACAAATAGTGTAACGGTAATTGTAAATTAATTTTCAATTATTGTCCTTTTCTTTTTCTTTACATTATTTTTCTGTTCAAACTTTTGGTATATTTTAAACTATTACACGCGTCCCTCTTATTGACCTCCTAAAGTAAAGAGCATGATCAATTCCGCTTCTGCCCTGCAAGCTGAAAATAATAACAACTCAAGCCTCATGGGGCCATCAGTACCCTTCCTGGGAGTTGGCTTCATTACTCAGCATCACCAAAAAGAGGAACTACCAAGGGGGCTTGAGCAATTTTTTCTATGGTATTTAGTAGTGTTATAAAATAAAATAAGACATATCTCGGCTGATTTGCAGGCAAAACAGGACAAGGCCCCGTCACAAAATGACCATTATCGTCGTTTACGCATAAGCCCGACGAACGAGTTCCGGTCGAAAAATAAAATAATATTTTAAAGTGTTTCTATTTTTCGACCAATAAAAATGCTTTCCTCCTAATTACACTCGCGTCGTTTTTCGAGCCTGTTAAGCCATAAAAAACGCCATAAAAGGCTCACACGGGGAAGTACAACGGCAGCCAACAGGAGGCCAGGGAAAACACCTGTCACGTTCAGCAGGAGGAGCGCCACGCCAACCAGCGAGAACTACTATGAGAGATCAACCCAGGTCGGCAGCCGGCCTATGAACTATGCGACAAGGTAGCTGTCCCAAAACCACACGTTCCTATTGAAATAAATCACGTAAATCTATTTCTGCTGTTGTTGTATTTCTTTCTTGCAACCATACGCTTGTCTATAACAGTAGTAAACCCACATTAAACTAGACCTTGAGTTACAATACATTCAGTTACGGAGTGTATAGCGGCGTGGGGCTGAGGGGTTAAAATGAACAGTTGATTTATCCACGCCAAGAAGATTTATGAAGGATGATAATGATGAGGAAACACATGAATAATATAATAAGGAATTTATTCACGAATTTACATGCTTGAAATAGTGTCAGTAGATCATTTCAGATACCAAAAGTCCATAATTTTAACATATTGTCATGAAGAGGAAATGTTCATACAACAGATTGAATGATCTGATATGAAATAATATTAAAAAATGTTTAAGACAAAAGGTAAGGTGGTTCATCGTTCACCGAATGGATATATGCTTTGCATACGTTCAAAAGTAGACGAAGAGAGATAGTTGGAAATACTTAGCTCTCTTGGATTGTTTGCTGGGAAATTTGTCCCAACTTTTCTGCATCAAAGGGTTGAGTTTAAAAAAATTGCGACAAAATGCGAATAAAAACGGTAAGATTTGAGGGGACAAACTCTTTTATGCGGGGACGGATAGTGAAAAACTCCTGCTTGGTGTGTAACAAAAAGGTGTTTATTTACATATGTCGGAGTTAACTCCTCCTTCAGTCCGTTAACCCTTTCACCAGGGGTCTCTCTTCCCTGGCTATAAATAGCCGCTGACTCTTCGCCTCTATCTCTTTTTCCTTCAGGCCTGTGCACCGACACCTTGAGGTAAATCTCTTTTCCTTCAGGATTTCAGCTATCAACCTCGAAATGTAGGTGCTAACAAAGGGATAGCGTGGAAACACGCTAAGCAAACATT